TTGAGCGATGCTCACGGAGAGCATCTGAGAGCCAGGGTGCAGGAGGACTGGCACGGGCTGGCCTGGATGCAAGAGGACATAATCGGTCTAGACATGATGCTAGTGTGGAGCAGAGTGTATTAGTGGCACTGTTCGAATCAAGTGCAGTGAGTTTGCGAGATGGAGGAAGAGAGTCTGAAACAATGGTGGATAGTCTGTTGGGTGAGAGAGATCGTAGGTTTCTGCGAAAGGTAACCAGTGTTGGAGTGTGTGGCGGCTCAGGAGTAATGTGGATGTTGAGAGACAGAAGGAAATGATCAGATATTTGTAGTGGAGTTACTATTGTTTGATCAGTGAAGCAGTGTCGTGTGTAAATAAGGTCTAGCTGATTACCTGATTTGTGGGTAGCAGAAGTAGGTGCTCTTTTTAGGTCAAAAGAGGCAAGCAAAGTCTGAAAGTCTGCAGCTTGCGGTTTGTCAACGTAAATGTTGAAGTCACCTAGCACCAATAAGGGAGTGGCAAAATTAGAAAAAGATGAGAGAAGAACATCCAGTTCATCTAAGAAGTGACCTAATTTACCTGGTGGGCGGTAGATGACAACCACATTTATGTAGAAGGGGTGGATAATGGTGACTGCATGGAATTCAAAGGAGCTGATTGTTGGCAGGGACGGTATCAGAGTAAATTTCCATTCTTTGGAAATTAGTAGTCCAGTCCCACCCCCTCTCCCTGTCTGACGAGGAGTGTGGGAAAAAGAGAAATTAGAGTAGAGTAGCATGTGTAGCAGTGTCCTCCGGCCTCAACCTGGTCTCAGTTAGAGCCATGAGATTATAGTCAGAATATGTAGCTATGGAGGTAATAAAATCAGCCTTGTTAACAGCTGATTGACAGTTCCAGAGGCCCACGGAGAGAGAGAGTTGTGAAATAGTAGATACATGTATTGAACGAAGGTTGTGAGGATTACGCCTGCAGCGTACCTCCCGTGTTTTGCGAGTGTTAGTAACAACAGGAATTAGAAAACACATAATAAAAGTGCACTGACAACAAAAAAATAAGTGTAAAGTAAAACAATACAGTAAAGTACTCAAGTGCTTTGTCGGTGTCTTTGCTCGGTGGAGTCGCGCAGGTAGAGTCGATGGTCTTTACACTCGTCGGTCTTCACACGAGGCTGCCACGACCGCTGCCGCGGTGAACTAGTTGTTTATATAACCCCCAAAGCACTAGCTGATTGAATTCAGCTGGACACGCCTCGAGAGTCAAAACAAGGGCCGAAACTGAGGCGGACGACGCGAAACCGCGTCTGCGTTCGCTGCACAAGCTCTTATAGTAACCAAGGAAACAGTGGCTAAACAACTTCTAGTATTATACACAACTGAAAGCAAGTTTAAATGTCCTACAACTTTACACAAACAGCTGGAAACAAGTCCTCAAACCATACACAACAACTGAAACAAATCTTAAATGTACTTACAGGCTGCTGTTCTAGATGCTGCTAAAGTGCTTCTCCTGCCGACTAATGCTACCGTGCTCACTATATAGTGGTTACCTGGCGTTTGGACACGCCTCCCGAGTCAAAACAAGGGCCGAAACTGAGGCGGACGACGCGAAACCGCGTCTGCGTTCGCTGCACAAGCTCTTATAGTAACCAAGGAAACAGTGGCTAAACAACTTCTAGTATTATACACAACTGAAAGCAAGTTTAAATGTCCTACAACTTTACACAAACAGCTGGAAACAAGTCCTCAAACCATACACAACAACTGAAACAAATCTTAAATGTACTTACAGGCTGCTGTTCTAGATGCTGCTAAAGTGCTTCTCCTGCCGACTAATGCTACCGTGCTCACTATATAGTGGTTACCTGGCGTTTGGACACGCCTCCCGAGTCAAAACAAGGGCCGAAACTGAGGCGGACGACGCGAAACCGCGTCTGCGTTCGCTGCACAAGCTCTTATAGTAACCAAGGAAACAGTGGCTAAACAACTTCTAGTATTATACACAACTGAAAGCAAGTTTAAATGTCCTACAACTTTACACAAACAGCTGGAAACAAGTCCTCAAACCATACACAACAACTGAAACAAATCTTAAATGTACTTACAGGCTGCTGTTCTAGATGCTGCTAAAGTGCTTCTCCTGCCGACTAATGCTACCGTGCTCACTATATAGTGGTTACCTGGCGTTTGGACACGCCTCCCGAGTCAAAACAAGGGCCGAAACTGAGGCGGACGACGCGAAACCGCGTCTGCGTTCGCTGCACAAGCTCTTATAGTAACCAAGGAAACAGTGGCTAAACAACTTCTAGTATTATACACAACTGAAAGCAAGTTTAAATGTCCTACAACTTTACACAAACAGCTGGAAACAAGTCCTCAAACCATACACAACAACTGAAACAAATCTTAAATGTACTTACAGGCTGCTGTTCTAGATGCTGCTAAAGTGCTTCTCCTGCCGAGTAATGCTACCGTGCTCACTATATAGTGGTTACCTGGCGTTTGGACACGCCTCCCGAGTCAAAACAAGGGCCGAAACTGAGGCGGACGACGCGAAACCGCGTCTGCGTTCGCTGCACAAGCTCTTATAGTAACCAAGGAAACAGTGGCTAAACAACTTCTAGTATTATACACAACTGAAAGCAAGTTTAAATGTCCTACAACTTTACACAAACAGCTGGAAACAAGTCCTCAAACCATACACAACAACTGAAACAAATCTTAAATGTACTTACAGGCTGCTGTTCTAGATGCTGCTAAAGTGCTTCTCCTGCCGACTAATGCTACCGTGCTCACTATATAGTGGTTACCTGGCGTTTGGACACGCCTCCCGAGTCAAAACAAGGGCCGAAACTGAGGCGGACGACGCGAAACCGCGTCTGCGTTCGCTGCACAAGCTCTTATAGTAACCAAGGAAACAGTGGCTAAACAACTTCTAGTATTATACACAACTGAAAGCAAGTTTAAATGTCCTACAACTTTACACAAACAGCTGGAAACAAGTCCTCAAACCATACACAACAACTGAAACAAATCTTAAATGTACTTACAGGCTGCTGTTCTAGATGCTGCTAAAGTGCTTCTCCTGCCGACTAATGCTACCGTGCTCACTATATAGTGGTTACCTGGCGTTTGGACACGCCTCCCGAGTCAAAACAAGGGCCGAAACTGAGGCGGACGACGCGAAACCGCGTCTGCGTTCGCTGCACAAGCTCTTATAGTAACCAAGGAAACAGTGGCTAAACAACTTCTAGTATTATACACAACTGAAAGCAAGTTTAAATGTCCTACAACTTTACACAAACAGCTGGAAACAAGTCCTCAAACCATACACAACAACTGAAACAAATCTTAAATGTACTTACAGGCTGCTGTTCTAGATGCTGCTAAAGTGCTTCTCCTGCCGACTAATGCTACCGTGCTCACTATATAGTGGTTACCTGGCGTTTGGACACGCCTCCCGAGTCAAAACAAGGGCCGAAACTGAGGCGGACGACGCGAAACCGTGTCTGCGTTCGCTGCACAAGCTCTTATAGTAACCAAGGAAACAGTGGCTAAACAACTTCTAGTATTATACACAACTGAAAGCAAGTTTAAATGTCCTACAACTTTACACAAACAGCTGGAAACAAGTCCTCAAACCATACACAACAACTGAAACAAATCTTAAATGTACTTACAGGCTGCTTTTCTAGATGCTGCTAAAGTGCTTCTCCCTCTAACTAACTTTGCCAGCTAGTTGAGGCACAAGACGAAGCTTCCTCAGTGAATCACGAGGATCTTTTGTGTTGTCTTCGTGAAAGCGGTCATACAGAACATAGTGTTCTGCAGGACCAGTTATTGGATGACCATCCGGATCTGGACTTTGCTTTTTTGCAGTGAGCAATGGCAGAGTTACCTGTAATTTTCCTGATTTTGCTTTTGCAATATTTTCAGTGGTTGGTTCGAGTAACCTTCCCTTGAAAGGTGTGAAAGTTATGGGTTTCCTCAAATTTGTGTGGGTGGACAGTCCACGGGCAAAGTCACAAATAACAACATTAGGCAGATGCTTCCAAGACAGAAGCATATCTGCAAAATCCCGAGGACTTTCTGCTCGCAGATTACACTTTATACTGTAAACTATGCCACAAGGACACATGATGACAGCCCAACCTCCTGGAACAGACAAAAAAGATAAGCAAATAGTTAAGAAAACATAATCAAATCCCATTAATGACATTGGGACTTAAATGACCATAGGTTATGATAGAGGGCAGTGGCATTAACCTTAACAAAGTATACTTTTAAAAAATTTAAAGATGCAGTGCCTCAGAGATATAAATACACTCCCCCACACGGAAAGCAACAATAGGTGTCAGACGAGGCCACCTCCAACACCCCCCCAGAGCTGTACACCACCAGTCACTCCCCAATCAGTGCCAAGCAGAAAACAGGACCCATTATGTCTATGTGACTTTGTACATTTCTGATTTATTTGTAATATTTTAATGTGCAACATTGAGGTTTACCTGAAGCAGCCCAAATCTTTTCAAAAACCTTGTCATAGGCCTCCCTTGACCTCATCTCCTCCGAAAGTCGCAGGAGTAGATCTGTGCGAGAGCCTTTGGCATCTAAACCACACTCTTGACACAGTCTTCTTGTCACTCCCACCTATCACATAAAACACACGTTAAATGAAATGCCAACACTGACAAATAATACATATAATTAGCATTAAATATTTAACTTTCTGTTTTGAAAGTTTGTCCTTTAAGCGATCTTCAGAGACAGTTATTTCTGTTCGTTCTGCAGTTTTTGCTTTGTGCACTTTCTCAAATTCAGTGTTGAGAACAACATTCGCTATATGAGTCTTACTCCCGATCCAGGGTGCCCAAAAGTTGTAACTAGGTGTAACACAGAATGGATTGTTTTTTTGACCTTTAGGAAAAACATGTTAGTACATCAGTGAATTTAGATTGTACTCCTGAAAACACTTATGAAATTAAATAATGATGACATGCCATTCCAGATATAATAAATTTCCTTACTTGAAAAAAATCCTCGAGCAATTCGTTCTTCTGTCAGTGCCTTCCAAACATATCTAAATCCACCTCTCCATTAAAATCTTGTGGAGGCTGTGAAAGATCACTCACTAAAGAAAATAATTACTTACTATAAACTTACTAATAGTTTTACTAATAAGACTTACCTCTCTGCAGTAAAAAGGAAAGATACAGGTAACATGAAAGACACAGATGGATGGTCACCACAAGATACACATGAATACTTGTATTCATGGTCAGTTAGGGCCTCAAAATGCAGATAGCCATGGAGAAGAATAATTGCTGAGGGGAACTGTACACCTGTAGTTACCTCCAAGTACTCCACTACTCTGCTGACTGCTGTATGCACCTATGATAAAGAAATCACAGTTAATCAGTATGTATATAGGCAAGGCAAGGCAAGTTTATTTATATAGCACATTTCATACACAATGGTAATTCAAAGTGCTTTACATAAACAAGAATAAAAGAGACAAGTATAAGAAAATAAAAACAAAGAATAAAAATGATTTAAAAAAACAGTTAAAAACAGAAAACATAATAGTGTAAACTGTTGGACGTAGCACAGTGCTCATTCAGTAAAGGCACAGCTAAACAGATGTGTTTTAAGTCTTGATTTGAATGTGCCTAATGTTGCTTAACATAAAATCAACACTATGAAGAAATCCTATTGTTGTAAAAAATATTATATTGTATAACATATAATATATGAACTGGTAGGACAAAACATTCTTGCACTTTCACTGCTCTCATATGCGCAGCATTATCCTGCCCAGCCACTCCCCGCACCTGTGCGTGTGGAGCAGGCATGTCCAAACTACGGCCCGCAATCAGTTTTGTGGCGGCCCGCGAGGCTTTTTATAAATATCAATAGAATCTGGCCCGCTATTCAAAAATGAACGTAATTCAATAAATAACCACCGGGTGTCGCTATTACATGCATTCAATTAAGCAGCAGTTCTTGCTATGATCTATCTATCTATCTATCTATCTATCTATCTATCTATCTATCTATCTATCTATCTATCTATCTATCTATCTATCTGTCTGTCTGTCTGTCTGTCTACACACAGTTGAAGTCTGAATTATTAGCCCCTCTTTGATTTATTTCTTCTTTTTTAAATATTTCCCAAATGATGTTTAACAGAGCAAGGACATTTTTACAGTATGTCTGATAATATTTTTTCTTTTGGAGAAAGACTTTTGTTTTTTTTCAGCTAGAATAAAAAGCGGTTTAAATTTTTTTATGAACCATTTTAAGGTAAAAAATATTAGCACCTTAAGTCTTCAGAACAAACCATTGTTATAAAATAACTTGCCTAATTACCTTAACTTGACTAGTTAACTTGATTAACCTAGTTAAGTCTTTAAATGTCACTTTAAGCTGTATAGAAGTGTCTTAAAAATATCTAGTCAAATATTATTTACTGTCATCATGGCAAAGATAAAAATAAATAAATTATTAGAAATGAGTTACTAAAACTAATATGTTTAGAAATGTGTTGAAAAAAATCTTCTCTCCGTTAAACAGAAATTGAGGAAAAAATAAACGGGGGCTAATAATTTAGGGGGGCTAACAATTCTGACTTCAACTGTATATATATATATATATATATATATATATATATATATATATATATATATATATATATATATATATATATATATATATACACACACACGTGTCTGTGTGATGTATGTAAAATTTGGCCCACGACAACGTTTGTTTTTTTGCATCTGGCCCTCGGCCCAAAAAGTTTGGACACCCCTGGTGTGGAGCATAAGAACAGATATGAGGCCTGTTACAGGGCTCAACAAGCAAACAATTCAGTGTTTTGAATGCGACTCAAAAGGTGTTGGCGCTGGCCTTACCTTAAGCTCCCTAACGCTTCCAGGACCCAGACGGTGTGGCCACACAGAAGCTGCAAAATTCCATCTGGGTCCTGCGATGCAGCTGGCACCGCTGGCTGAGGCGACGGGCAACCTCAGCCATATCCGCCTCCATTGTGGAGGGGTAGGGGCTTCATGTTCATGTATTGTATCATGTATTGTATAACGATTACCTGAAACAGGTTTCTTATGGTGAGGCAGAGAGAGAGTTCAAGGAGGACATGGTCATTGAAGTTATGCAAACCATTAGCCCACTCTTGGTAACGTTACACCATTCCACAGAAAGGACAGAATTTGTAGTAGGTTGAAATATCTGCACATACAGAATGTAAAATAAATGGTTTAGTATCTTTTTCATAATTAAAATAAAATATGTAAGTAACAATTATCCACCTTGGACAATTCCTGTAGTTGTGAGAATTTTCGCTTTACGTGTAATGCAGACAGGATCACTGAGCAATGTGCGGTCTGAGCAGTGGTAGCACATTGTCTCATCAGGGATTAGGTGTTTTGGAAATTCCTTATAGTCTGAAGAAAGCCTCAAATGACTGGGAATAGTAGATGGTAGCTTTTTATTCATTAAGATGTATTGTACCATGCTCTTTACTTTAGCAATGTCCTTTGGAGGGTAATTCTCACTTTCATCACTTTCCTCCATCGCTGCTGCCTGAAATTCTTCAGCGCTTTCAGTGCTCCGAACTTTTCGGAAGAGTTCAGGGTGAATTTGAAAGAGGTTCCATTTTGCTATGTATTTATGGGTACATGATCTCTGGGTTTTTGCACAGGGGCAGTGCCATGAATTATTCTTGGTGTCATATGACACCATGACTCTGCCCAGTCTACTATAATATGATATATTAGGCTCAAAGACCGATATGAACATTTTTGTTGGTGGGACTCCAATCTTGGATTCAACTGACAGTGGTGCATTTTCTTCTTGGGCTAGTTTTTGACGATTTACACACTGTTTTATTTTGTCCTGCCCAAACCACTTGCTTTTAACCATTTCTTTTAAACTTTCTTCTGTGAGTGAAGGTGAGGTTAAAAATGTTTTGCAGTATGAAACTGACCGGAGGTGAACACATTTGTATGACAGCAGTCCACTTCTCCAAGCCAACTCCATATTAGTCTGGCACTCATTTAATTCACATGAAACACGATGTGGTTCCCGCCATATTTATATTTGCACATGGAGTGGAGTAGAAGCTCCATGAAAACTTTTGTGGACCATATAGACTTCATTCTGAGGGTCTATGCACTCACTGTCAAGATGAGATGAGGAAGTGATGTCCATCATTTTTGGGGTGTGTTTACGTTCTATATGTCTTTTTAAATTTTTAAAGTGGCATATCAAATCACATTTGGGACATTTCTTTAGTTGCTTTGGTTTTTTCCGACAATTTTTTTTAGGGCCTAGAAATGCCAGAAGTGGTGGGCAGAGCCATGTCAGTGGATAGAGGCACATGTGTGGCGGGCAGAGCCGTGGCAGTGGAGAGAGGCACATGTGTGGCGGGCAGAGCCGTGTCAGTGGAGAGAGGCACATTTGTGGCGGGCAGAGCCGTGTCAGTGGAGAGAGGCACATGTGTGGCGGGCAGAGACGTGGCAGTGGAGAGAGGCACATGTGTGGCGGGCAGAGCCGTGTCAGTGGAGAGAAGCACATGTGTGGCTGGCATAGCCGTGTCAATGGAGAGAGGCACATGTGTGGCGGACAGAGCCGTGGCAGTGGAGAAAGGCACATGTGTGGCGGGGCAGAGCCGTGGCAGTGGAGAGAGGCACATGTGGGCAGAACCGTGTCAGTGGAGAGAGGCACATGTGTGGCAGGCAGAGCCGTGTCAATGGAGAGAGGCACATGTGTGGCGGGGCAGAGCTGTGGCAGTGGAGAGAGGCACATGTGTGGCGGGCAGAGCCGTGGCAGTGGAGAGAGGCACATGTGTGGCGGGGCAGAGCCGTGTCAGTGGAGAGAGTCACATGTGTGGCGGGGCAGAGCCGTGGCAGTGGAGAGAGGCACATGTGTGGTGCGCAGAGCCGTGCCAGTGGAGAGAGGCACATGTGTGGCGGGGCAGAGCCGTGGCAGTGGAGAGAGGCACATGTGTGGTGGGCAGAGCCGTGTCAGTGGAGAGAGGCACATGTGTGGCGGGCAGAGCCGTGTCAGTGGAGAGAGTCACATGTGTGGCGGGGCAGAGCCGTGGCAGTGGAGAGAGGCACATGTGTGGTGCGCAGAGCCGTGTCAGTGGAGAGAGGCACATGTGTGGCGGGGCAGAGCCATGGCAGTGGAGAGAGGCACATGTGTGGTGGGCAGAGCCGTGTCAGTGGAGAGAGGCACATGTGTGGCAGGCAGAGCCGTGTCAATGGAGAGAGGCACATGTGTGGCGGGCAGAGCCGTGGCAGTGGAGAGAGGCACATGTGTGGCGGGCAGAGCCGTGGCAGTGGGGAGAGGCACATGTGTGGCGGGCAGAGATGTGGCAAAAGTTGTGGTGGCTTTAGTGTGAGGGGTTGGTGGTTGTTGTTTTTGTTTGCAGAGTCCTAAATGTTTAACAAAATCAAGTTTTCTTAAAATGGTTGATTTGCAGAAGAGGCAGTGATAATGTGGCTGACTTCTGCAGAGGCGTCCACATCTGTGTATTGTAAATTCTGAAAAAAAAGCAGTATAAGATTGCACTTTAAGTTTTCTTACAATTTTTCACTATAATCAGATGTACATTTTCAAATATTACCTTCATGCTGGACTGATCTATTAAAATGTGCCTGCAGATGTGATTGCACTTTTTTTAATCGTGTTGGTTGGAAAACTGAGGCATCACAAAATGGACAATGAAAATATGTGCAGCATTTGGTGCACTGTACAGGTACTGGCAGAGACCCCCCTTTTTGAATTGTAATATCCATCTAGGAAAAAAATACACAAGTCACAAGCAAATTATATTTGTTTTAACCTAAGAGAGCTCACAATGTAAATGTTATGCAGATTAATTGATATTTTAATTTCCAGAGATCTTATTTACAATTGTTAAACTGTTATTGTGTTACTGTTATTGTCTGTACCACTTTCAGATAGATAATACAGTAATACGTTCAGTAGACCTACATAGCACTTTAATATCTTACAATTAATAATTGCTTTATATACACAATACATTTTATTTTAACATTTTTACTTTAAAGTTTTTTATTTTGCCAGAAATCCTTGCTAGAAAAGTGTCCCAGAATGGTACAATAACAGAAAATAAGAGCACGCTGTAAATATCATAAAATAATGCTATCTTTTGACTAATTCAAATCAAACACTGAAATATTGTTTGTTAGTGTAATAAGATGTCACATTGATTTATGCCATAAAACCTGCTAATTTCAAGAATCGCTTTAATAAAATGAATAACCTTACTCACGTGTCCGATGTTGCTACTTCCTAGAAAGTGCTGCTCTGAGCGTGGGTCTCGATACCTGCCGCTTCACCCAACCCAACAGCAGGTGGCACTGTCTGAGAAAATGATAGGTCTGGAAGTGCTGGTCTGAGCGTGCAGGTCTGAGCGTGCGGTTGGGTCTCCGGGCCTGCAGCTTCACCCTACCCCCAAATGTGGGAATCTCGACTGCATAATTTCTGGTAGTGGGGAACTGCGTTCGTGCTCTCCCCTGAGCACAGTGGTTCAAGACAGAGTTCAGGCGGTAGCGTCGGACCCGGCTGTAGCGGTGCTTCCCTCTCTTCCTCGTCCTTTGCTAAGCCTCTTTTGCTCCAGTAGAGCTGCGCGCGCCTGTGGAAGGCCTGCCCACCCCGTCGCTAGAAGAGTCTGTTCTGACGCCAAAAACTACTCGAAAGGTCCCCTCTCAAAGCGGTTTGACCAGGTGAAGGAACACGCAAAGAGAGCCCCCGGTGGCTTTTGTCCGCCAAGCGAGTGTGCCCTGTGGAATGTCAGAATTTTATTTGCCGGCCTGCCGCTGTTACTGACGGAACGAATGCAGACCGTGTGAAAGGTCATCATTTTATCTGCCATTAAGTAAGCGAACGCTTCTGCTCGGATCAGAGGTAACTTTGTTTCAAGAACTGCAATCTTTTGCAGACGTCTGTGGCGTTTTGGGCAGAGGGACGGTTCTAAACCAATCTGAACCAGAGGCAATTTCGCAGCCAGCCGTCGGTGGTTTCCCGTCTCAGGAATGTAAGGTGCCTGCAGCGGGAGGTTGTTCCGTTAGCGCTTCCGCTTTCGTCAGTCAAGTTCTTTTGCGGAACGTTTGTAGATCCCGTCGTGTTCTTCAAGCTATGTCGTTTGAGCACTGTGCTGGTAGGCTGACGTAAGAAAACAGGACACGAAATATACAAGGCGAGAGTGCAAAGCACGGAGCTCTAGGCAAAGGCGGTCCGAACCGCAGCAAAGCAGGAGGTCGACATGTCCAAATAGACCAAATCAGAAACTAAGCAGAGAAAAACGGCATCTGTAGAGGAAGAAAACAGATGGAGGAAAAGAAAGAAAGAACAGGAGGATCCCCTCCCCCCATAGAGGGTCTGTTATCCCCAGATCGAGTGCGTCCAGTGGAATCCATGTGTTGGCAGCCCCAACTGATGACAAAACACGAAGCAAGCATCTGGAGGAAGCTCAAACTCTTCATGCGTTGCCACAGTTACTAGCGAGTGGTTTGCAAGCACAGGCACGTCTGCTGCAAGTACAGCGCCGTCAGGAGACAGGGGTTGCTGGCCCATTCCCCATGCTCGGTGGCTGGGCATCACCGCCCTGGAGTACGGCCGATAGAAAACGGCGGCTGCCATTTGCGCCGCCCGGCAACTCATACTTACCTGGCAGGGGAGATACCATGATCAAGAAGGTGGTTCACCCAGGGCGAGGCTTGGCCATTGCACTCCGGCCACGCTGACCCCTGCGAATGGCGGTGGAACGTATGGTAGTGCAATTAATCACAACGCGATTGGCTGAAATTCTATGCTTAGAGTCCTTCATTTACATATGTGTTCAAGACATTTAGTTTATTTATAACTCGAAAGCTAGGGCAAGGGAGGTGATGGAAATATCAGAAGAAGTGATTTAAGGTTGTACATGTAATATCACGTGTAATTGTTCACAATGTAAAAAATCACTACCGTCCTTCAGTTAATTTTCCAATGTGCTTAAATATGTCTCGTCTTCGATGCCCCTCCCCCTGTTTTTTTTTGACTCATACTTTAAAGTAGCAATTTATGTAAAGTTTATTGTTTTTAATGAAGTAATGTGATGTTTTATGTCTTTGATATGGTATGTTTTTAGTTTGTTTTCAATTAAATTAAATGACTGAAAATAAAGGTTTGTGGCCCATTCATAATTTGTTAAAAGTAATATTGTAAATAAACTCATCATCTTCTGTCCCCTTTTATAAAGTATCAGTTTATTTAAATAAAGCAGTGATTTTATTAGTTTTAACCATGTTAATTATTCATTCAATTTTTTATTTAAATAAAACAGGAAATTACTATGAAATTCCTGTCCTTGAGCCATTATTTTAAAAAACAAAATTTGATGATATAATATTATTTGAATTAAATGTATAAGAACAAAGACTAGTGTCCTGTATAAGCTACAGTAAATATATTTGTCAGTTTAAATATTTAACATAAAAATTAAATGTAACACTGCAGTTATATATAATATTATGTATATATGTTTATTGTAAAGGTTTATGACTTAGTTCCCTTTTAAAATAAAAATAGCATAACATTCTTTATGAGGGAAGTACAGATTTGTTTTGTTTTAATATGTTTGTAGCTCGTTTTTATATAATGCGGTTTGTAAAAGATCTGACAAATTCCTTTAAATTGTGAAACATTTGGAATTTATTTTTAAGAACTTACAAAAAGTATTGCTTGCAAGTAAATACAATATATGTAATAAAATATTAAATATATAAAAACAATAAACTCTTAAATATTAAATACAAAAATGTACTAAACTTGAATAAAATATAGAACAGATGCATGAAATTGCAAACAGTAATAATGTCGTTATATACATATTTACACTGTAGAAAAAACAAACAATCAAACAAACAATAACACACACAAATTTGTAACCACAAAAAACTATATATATACATGAAATGTACATTATCAAAAGAGTGTTTGAGTTCACTTCAGTGTGTCCACAACAGCCATGAAGTCTTCATAACTGCTGAACACTCTGTTTTCCAGTCCTTTGGAGGTAGACATCATTTTCACAACACAAAAGTTTTTCTTTTTGTATTTTTTATGCCCCTGAGTAGGCTGGTTACAGAGTGTGCAAATAGGCAAGTGGTGAACCCGAGACAGCTTTGCACCAACTTCACTTAGAGTGTCTGTTTTTTTTCTTTTATACACACAGGACCTGGACCAGAATGCAGGGGTGTCAGGCTGGCTGTAGGTGTTGGCGGAGGTAGCTGGGGCCTCTGGTGTATCTGTGGTGGTTGTTGGAGTTCTGGGCAGAGGTTTGAATATGGTTGATAATGCTTTCTGCTGGGGTAATGGGGTTGTATTGTGTTTTGTGGGGGATGGAGTTTTTGGAGCTGGCGCCGTAATGTCTGATCTACTCTTTAAGATCTTGGTGCCTGCTGTGCTGGGGATTTGCTTGTACTCCATTTCTGGGTAAGCAGGAGGAGGGAGAACCGACGGCTGACACTCTGCTGGAGGTAACTCTTCCGAGGAGACCGATGTGGTCTTTAATATAACTAAGGATGGCATCTTTGTTGCCTGCAGGTTGACCAGCCTCTCTTGGCGACGGATAAAATCTCGGACAGTCTTTGAATTAATTTTTGGTAGAGGAATCCCCATCTTGCTCAAAACCGGATCCTCCACCAAAATGCAGTGTTGGATTTTTCCATAAGCCTTTAGGATGGATGATTTTTCAGGGCTTGATCGGCTGGAACCTTGAGGTAACCCCAGCCACAGAAGTTTCACCAGCGTGTACATTAGCCGGTTATGAAGAGCACTGATGTCTTGTTGAGCTGGCGCATAGCGTTGGGCCATCTTCACTTTCTGAACTATGGCAGCTTCAACAAGATCATCTCTCTTCGTCCGGCAGTACAGTGTGTTGCCCCAGTGCGTCCTGTACAGCTGGTGAAACCTCTGTGGCTGCTTGTCGTGGTCCTCCACAGAATTCCATGCATCTATGATTTCATTCCTCTGGTCTGTCGTCAGGCTCAGCTTGGTTTCAGAGAAACCGATCTCCACCAGAAGAGAGCAGAATCTCTCCAGCTGCTGAAATCCTGGTAGGGGGTTGGAGCTGCAGGCATCCTCCTGATGAAAGGCACAATAATCACATAGTAAGTTTAAATGATTGCATATATTGTCTGGCTTCTTTTTTTAAATAATTAAGAGTAACAAAGTGATGCATTTGGACAAAGAGAAAAAGACTTACAAAGGCCGGAGGGTGAGCTGTGGTGGTTTCATTGGTGGTAAGAGTTATGTGGGCTGGGGCAACACCCAGCCCATCATCATTTGCCTCTGGGTCACTCTGGTAAGCCTCGTCATCCTCATCTGGTTCAGCCTGGTCTGGCTGAACCACCTCTTGCTCTGGACTTGGTCCATCATTTGAGAGATCAGCGAGGGAGAAGTTGGCACCAGATTCACCCGTGCTCTGGCTGAAGAGGTACTCCAAACCAAGCAGCTCGTTTGATGCCACAGCAGAAGGGGCACGGAAATTCTCCTCCACGGTTTCTCCAAACAACAGCTGGCAGCGGGTGTTGAGACGCTGGATTAGAGGTGCGGAGTAGGTTCTGTGCACTCGCCCTTTGCCACCATACACTGCATCAGAACTGCGGTCTGAGTTCCAGCGTGCAATCCCACTAATCAGGTACACCTGGAATGGACGTGCCGCACAGTGGGGACCTTGAAATGACAGAAAAGAACATTAAAATCATGTCATGGCCACACATACAGTAAAGGTGACTTATTTTAAAACAACGATGACATGGTGAAAAAATTTGAGAAAGCCAAGCCACCTTCATTTACAGCTGAAATAAGCACACCACAAAAAGCATGATTGCTTGCAAAGCAGGATGAGTATGCCAGGTGAGTATACAACACATATGGCTGGAACAGGTGAGCAGATGAGTACATTAAATGAGTATGCTACACTTCAGCTGGAGCATGTGAGTATATCAGGTGAGTATGCTACACTTCAGCTGGAGCAGGTGAGTATATCAGGTGAGTATGCTACACTTCAGCTGGAGCAGGTGAGCAGGTGAATATGTTAAAGGTGAGTAAGCCAGTGAGTATATCAGGTTGATAGGTGAGGCAGAGGTGAGCAGGTAATGATTAGCCCAGAGGATGTGCAGGGAAGCCTCTAAAAACTACAAAGCACACGAACTTACTTGAAGAATCCTTTACAGGAACAAGAAGGGATCTAAGACTGATTTAGTTGACCAGACGATGACACTGAGTGTCCGTGTGGAGCGTGACCTTGGTGTGTCCGTAACAATAAAGAGTAAGTGCAGTCACAGCATTTTATACATGTACAAAGTTGCACTTTTTTCTCCAACTCAATGCAATAAACAGTATGAAGTATAGAACACCTTCAAGGGATATTATAGGTGAACAAACTGTATGATTGGTTTCCTTAACCAGCTAAGTATAGTATTCAAGATATGGACTGAATAACTGAAAGCATATTGCTTAACACACCTGGTATCATGTGAGGCAGAAATTTGTGAAATCCCTCCAGACTGTTGCTTCCACGAAGACACTTGTAGTAAGGCACATCAACCCCATTGATGCTGGTGCTGCGAGCCACTCTGTACATGCTCATCTCCGGAGGATCCTGCATGCACTCCAGGTGCCGTTGCTGGGCCTCCCACATACTATCTATTGCTTCTGTTAGGTAATAATAATGTATGTATGAGTCAACATGTCACATTATAAATATATATTTAAAAAATCTTATATACAGTTATAAACAGTATTATATACAGTATTTATGCTAATAGTGTTGTACTTTATAGACCAATATACAGATGATGACTTTTTTGTGTACTTCATATACTTTGTGCTGTTTTCATTACTGTAAGTACTAATAAAATTTTTACAGGCTTATGTACCTGTTGACTTGAAGAGACTGACTCCACTCTCGTCCAGCCCAGCAGGACCCTTGAGCTCATCGATGGCGATCTGCACAAGTCGAAAGGTCTCCTGAGCTCCAAGAGTGACTCTCCGAACATGGTGCTTTAGCCGTTCACTTGAAACATACAGTCGCACCATATCTTCATCTGTCACTCTGTTAAAAGCTGTCGGATCCTTGGCTCTGACAGCCTTGATGAGCAACTCCAAGTCTGCGCGGTTGTAGGCCATCACCGCTCCTGCAAGGGCAGACTTGAACACTGCATACTTGGAGTGGCTGTCTGTGCGGATGGCAGCATCAAAGCGATGGATCCAATGGAAAATGTCCAAACGGACAACCATACCACCATCCACCCATGTCTTGAACAATGACTCCAAAGCTGTCGGGCCCTGTGCACGACAACAGCCACGGTCAACGTACAGGATCTTAGGGACAGGCTGATTGGCCAGCTGGAATCTGTCCATAACTCCCTGACACATGGGCTTCAGGCACTCAGTGGACTCCTCGCATGTAAGAATAAATGAGACTATTTGTGAGTACTCATTGCCAATGCTGGTGAACCACTCCGCTGTGCCTTTACCCTCCCCAGACAGCTTCTTGACCACCTGCAAGACATGAGAAACTCAGTTAGCCTAGATATTATTATCTGTAAATTAATCTCTGTATACTGCTAATTATATACCTTTATTTAAAAATCTGCATATGTTTAAAATAGACTGATTATGAATGTTTGAATATGTTATTCTGTCCTGTAGTTCTAAATCTGAATGATTTTACCTCCAAAAATCTTAGGGACTGGCAGCCTTAAAATCAATCTGCTGTGTCTTTAATATTACATAACCACCCCCGGGGTCGCAAAAAAAGGTAAGGCTGATAGCTTTTTATTTGCATTTTGTTGTTTTCATGTAACTGTTTTTTTCTTCTGTAGGTTATGGATAAAACATGGTAAATCTAGTAGTTTAATAAAAATTAATTTGATTTTTGGAAGAACATAAGCGACCCCCCCTCCACCATTGTCTTATGATCCCCCGGGGTGTCCCGACCCCTACTTTAAGAACCACTGGCCTAAATGAACAGTGACAAAACCTGTCATTCTACTCTATATGTTTTTGTTAACCACTCAAGTGTCATGCAGGTGTTGGAACAACATAATTGTAAGTTAATGAAAAAAATATATAAATTTTTAACAATGTTCTATATTGCTGTATTTACCTTTTTAGTGGAGTCCATTTTCAGCACTGTGCCAAAAGTGGACAGAATCTGGCTTCTGTAGTCCTGCACATTTTCGGCCTCAGCGAGAAGGAAGGCGTGGCGAAGCAGGTGAGCAGAAGGCATCTCTCTTTGAGGAGGTGGAGCCTCAAACTGGTGTCTAAAGGCTGACACAATCGCTCCGGGTTTTACCAGGGTCATCAGGAGGGTTGTGTACAGGTCCTTTCTGTGGAGATAATCCTCCACGTGGTTTTCCTGAACCTGCCGCCACACTTTTATCATAGTGTTCCCTTCGGTGCGATCCCGCAGAAGCCGGATCACACTCTTGTCTACACCACGCCTATAAAGTGTGATAATCAGTGTGTGATAAAACAGATGCTATTGTGGTAAATGTTAAATATATGCCACCTGTCAGTTTACTTACCTGTGTGTTAAAATCGCAGGGAACATGGCTTGGTGAGCCTCACTGAGCTGACAAAGGATTTCAGGATGCCATGCCAACCAACGACCCACCTTGGCACCAGCACCTTTCCTGCCTTCCTTTGTGCATGGCCCACAGCACAGGACCTCAGTCAGCATCGTGTACCAGTTGGCTACATCACAGATGTAACGAACCTGTAACATGATAAACCATTGTGTAATTTGAACTGTGTATGAATTTACATTTGTTGAAAATTGTCATTTAAAAAAGTACAATATGTTGCACTAATTGCAACTAAATATGATGCAGTGCACTAATTGCTGTAAAAATCATACAAAATGTAAACAGACAAACCTTGGTGTGGTATCCTGACTTGTAGAGGTGCACCTTGTTTCCACTACCCACACAGTCTTTACCACGGGGACACTTCAGTGAATATCTCCACACCCCAACTGGTCTCCAGACAAAGATGCGGCCCCGAAAGAACAGGTTTGGAGATGGCACAGTCCCGCTGAGGTAGCCTGGAGGTTCAGGGGGGTAAAACCACATTCTGTCCGACTTCATTACCCGCCTTCTCTTCAGCACACCTGTACTGTCCTGGTAGACCTGAATGTTGGTGAAGAGCCCTCTTTCTGTGTCATCCTTCACCCACGAGAGGTCAGCTGGTGAAATGCCATTAGGGTTTTCCCACAAGCGCACCCAACCCTCAAGTTCAACCTGCAATACATGTGAACAAAGATTATCTTACTGCTTTAATAACAATTCACTTTTCATTTGTGCACTTAACATGAATATTTACTTACAGAAGAGTCACTCATGGGTGAGGACATTGGCTCCTTGTGTTTGGTGGTGGAGGATGTGGAGGCAGACATGGAAGCAGTGGCTGATGTGAAAGCAGATGTTGAAGCCGTAGCTGTGTTGGCAGCCATGGCAAAGGTGAAAACAGTAGCAGTGGTGGCAGCCGTGTAAGAAGTGGAAGCCGTAGCAGTGGTGGCAGCCGTGTAAGAGGTAGAAGCCGTAGCTGAGGTGGCAGCAGTGTAAGAGGTGGAAGCAGTAGCAGAGGTGAAAGCCATGGAGGTGGTGGCAGCCATGGCAGAGGTGAAAGCCATGGAGGTGGTGGCAGCCATAGCAGAGGTTAAAGCCATATCGGTGGTGGAAGCTGTGGCAGCCTTGGCAGAGGTAGAAGCAGATGTTGATGTTGATGTGGTTCTTGATGATGGCACTTTTGACCTCGACCATGAAGGAACATCAGCTGTAGATTTTAAATTCTGTGTAAAAAAAAAATAAAACATTAAAATGTAAATTTAATCCAAAATGTTGTACATACAAATAAAAATAAGAAGTGACATAACATTTTATGTTTTGTATTCCATAAGACTTACCTGGTCCTTTTTGTCATATATGTATTTTCTAAACCGCTTCATCTGCACACTGCTGATGTGTGTAACAGGAGTGTGCAGCCAGCGGGTGACAGAGTTATGTGCCCTGAGAATTAGGTCTTTCTGATTGCTGCTAAAATCTTCAGGCCTGTCCATCAAGGCAGCACGCTGGCTGTACAGCTCCCACATCTCCTGAAATGTGTAGTTTTCAAACCCTTTCTGCCCGTAGATGCCACGGTTGACGTTAGCTTCCAGGGTTACTGACAGCTGAGGGAAGCTCTCTGCATATTCTGCCAAGCAGTCCTTTATCCAGCCATTGTGGATCTTTTTGGGTTGCTTGGCCAGTTCCTCCCTGTGCTTATCGATCACACTGCAAACACATTTGAACAATTGCACAGCAAATAAATAGCAAAATAAACTAGACTGAAAACATCTGTATAAATATAGACATTATATTTAATATAAAGTTAACTATATTATCTAATTTTAGTAGTTCTTAAATTTATAAAACACAAAATGGCATGTGCTTACAACTTCATGTAGCCCACATCGTTTTCTGCCAGCCAGTGGAATGGGGCGTTGGCATACTGGCCAAAAGGTAGCACCAGCTTTCCCAAACACTGCTGCCGTGATGGAGCCAAAGTTCCTTCAGCTCGAAGGAGCCTTTCTGCATGATTAAATGCAGCATGTTCGTTCAGGAGCTGTGCCGGTGGGAGAGCAAAGCTAAGCTTTCTCTCCCTGTACAAACGGGCCTCCTTTGACGCCTGTAAAATGGCTTGCTGACGGTCCAGAGGAGCAGATGGATTTACAATCCGGAGTGTCGGCAATGCCATCTCGGAGGTCTCTGGAAAAAAACACATATATTGGATGGGTTTTAAGCCTTATGAATGATATCATGCAGTCATAAATATATTTAGAAATTTATGATAACACATTATTAACATTATTAAACATAAATGCATGCTTTAAACAATATAATGCTTGACTTGAATGATATAATGTTGTAATCTCAAGCTAAAAGGCATCAAAGTAAACATGAATGGTTGATTACATCAAAACATGAATGGTTAATTAATGTAAGCACATGTCTTAATGTTTACATAAATATTTAATGGAATAAATGACTACAAGGTGGTATCGCTTTTTTTTAATGCTGTCTGTCATGTTTATAAATGTTTTCAGAGAAATAAATGTGCCCATTTATGTGCTGATCGTTGCAGTTAGGATGATTTCACATTATTGCAACATATTAATAATATAATAAAATGATATAATGCTGTAATTACTAGCTACATGCTATAAAGATTTATTAACATAGACGGAGCTCACATGTTAATGTTTACATAGGTATTTATTACTAAAAATCACAGGGCTGAATAAGCTTTTTAAAAATGCTGCCTATCATGTTTATAAACATTTTTAGTGGTTCAAAGGTGTTTATGTATGTGCTCTCATTAAAGATATGACTATTTCCCATTATAAAAACATTAATAACATTAAACATTTGAATAGAACGTTATAATCACCAGCTAAAGGCCATGAATAGTATATTTAGGTATACTTGTCTTGACTTTTACATGAATATTTACTGTTATATTTGATTTACATAAATGCATACATCGATATCAGCTTTTGTTAAATGTTTTGTCATGTTTACAGCATCAGTGACGATGAAACAAGTGTTTTCATATATTCGTTGTGTTTATAAATATTGTGTTAAACGTAAATTCACTTTTAGACAGCATACAAAAGCATATTGTGTCCGAGACATTGTTGTTTTGTCATTTATGTTTGTTTTTGTCAATCGGGGACATGATGAACGTTACGGTGGAACAGGATAAACAGTACGTCGCACCGAATGTCTAAATACACGTTAAAACACCGGTTTACTGTACATACTGTAACTTGTCACGATCCGAAAATTAATCTTTATCAATCAACAACAATACTGCGTCGCAATAGAACACCAATTGCAAGTTTTTCAAGCTTGATAAACACAATTAGACTGTTTACAACAGCAAAATTAATCTTTATGTCTGCTTAGTCAATGATTTGAGTAGTAAAATCAACAGATGTGGACTCACCTTCAAAGCAACGCCGTTGTATGCTGGTTGTAGGTTATTTGAGCTGAAGAAATCCAGTGTTTATGCATTTACATTTGTTTAAAACAGAAAATGCGACAAACTAAAGTTTGAATCCTTTGATTGCGGCGAGAAGAGCGAAAGGATGACGCCCCCTTGCAGCGATTGGACGGCTGGATTCACAATCCGCTGTTTTCATTGGTCGCAGACAGTAGACAATATCTACGGTCACCGTACACATTGCACGACTGTAGAAAGAACCTCTGCGAATTCCCCAAATGTGGGAATCTCGACTGCATAATTTCTGGTAGTGGGGGACTGCGTTCGCGCTCTCCCCTGAGCACAGTGGTTCAAGACAGAGTTCAGGCGGTAGCGTGGGACCCGGCTGGAGCGTCGCTCCCCTCTCTTCCTCGTCCTTTGCCAAGCCTCTTTTGCTCCAGTAGTGGAAGGCCTGCCCACCCGTCGCTAGAAGAGTCTGTTCAGACGCCGAAAAACTACTCGAAAGGTCCCCCCTCAAAGCGGTTTGACCAGGTGAAGGAACACGCAAAGAGAGCCCCCGGTGGCTTTTGTCCGCCAAGCGAGTGTGCCCTGTGGAACGTCAGGATTTTATTTGCCGGCCTGCCGCTGTTACTGACGGAACGAATGCAGACCGTGTGAAAGGTCATCATTTTATCTGCCATTAAGTAAGCGAACGCTTCTGCTCGGATCAGAGGTAACTTTGTTTCAAGAACTGCAATCTTGTGCAGACGTCTGTGGCGTTTTGGGCAGAGGGACGGTTCTAAACCAATCTGAACCAGAGGCAATTTCGCAGCCAGCCGTCGGTGGTTTCCCGTCTCAGGAATGTAAGGTGCCTGCAGCGGGAGGTTGTTCCGTTAGCGCTTCCGCTTTCGTCAGTGAAGTTCTTTTGCGGAACGTTTGTAGATCCCGTCGTGTTCTTCAAGCTATGTCGTTTGAGCACTGTGCTGATAGGCTGACGTAAGAAAACAGGACACGAAATATACAAGGCGAGAGTGCAAAGCACGGAGCTCTAGGCAAAGGCGGTCCGAACCGCAGCAAAGCAGGAGGTCGACATGTCCAAATAGACCAAATCAGAAACTAAGCAGAGAAAAACGGCATCTGTAGAGGAAGAAAACAGATGGAGGAAAAGAAAGAAAGAACAGGAGGATCCCCTCCCCCCATAGAGGGTCTGTTATCCCCAGATCGAGTGCGTCCAGTGGAATCCATGTGTTGGCAGCCCCAACTGATGACAAAACACGAAGCAAGCATCTGGAGGAAGCTCAAACTCTTCATGCGTTGCCACAGTTACTAGCGAGTGGTTTGCAAGCACAGGCACGTCTGCTGCAAGTACAGCGCCGTCAGGAGACAGGGGTTGCTGGCCCATTCCCCCAATAGTATGATCCTGCACAACTGGAGTAGCTGCACTCTCAGGACCGCATGTTTAGGACCGCATTTTTAGGACCCTAGTTTTTTTGCAGAAGCACCACCTACCGGATTGGATGACAAAGTGAAACTGCATTTCTAGGACCCGTTTTGGAACTGCGCCACCTACCGAATTGGATTATATAGCGGAAACTTTCAGGCACTTTTATTACAGAGGTTAAAGTGTAAAACGCCTGCTTTAAGTAACAATTTTAAAATAAAACAAATGAATTTACACCTAAAATATAAATGAATAAATAGAGTTGAGTGCCTTAAAAGTCTTAAATTCCTTGAAAAATACTGTATATTGATGAACCCCATTACATTGAACAAATTAGCTCAGTATTAAGGAAAATAAATTGAAATCAAATGGGTTCAGCATTTGCAGTTACTAATTTAAAACCAGGTTGTAAAGGTTTTAGAGAGACAAGACGCAAGAATGATTCAAGAATGTACATTTATATAAATATCCACACTTTTTTTTTTATTAATGCAATTCAACCACAAAATTGACCCCACTGTTTATTCAGTTGCTGCATTCAGACTGGCTGTAGACTTTAGCTCCTGTGAATGAGAGTGAAGAAGAAAGTTCAAGTATATATATATACACACATATACATACATATATACATACATATAAATACACACACACATACACACACAAACATATGTATATATATATATATATATATATATATATATATATATATATATATATATATATATATATATATATATATATATATACATACACACTGGGGTAAATAAGTATTCAACAAGTTCCCATTATTCTCAGAAAACATATTTCTAAAGGTGCTATTGACCTGAAAACCAAAGAAAAAAAATATATGAACAGAAAACAAATCTAATTACTTTACAAATTGTTATCAACATCTGGTGAAAATTTCAAGTCAACAGCACCTTTATAAATATGTTTTCTGAGAAAAATGGAAACGTGTTGAATATTCAATTCAATTTTAATTAATTTCATCTTTATTTCTAAAGCACTTTTACAATGTAGATTGTGTCAAAACAGCTTAATATTTATTAAATTCAGTTCAGTTTAGTGTGGTTTAGTATTCACTGCTGAAAATCCAAACACTAAAAAAAAGCAAATCCATCGATGCACAGTTCCACAAGTCCTAAACCAAGCAAGCCAATGGCAACAGTGGAGGAACAAAACTTTACCAATTGATGAAAGGGAAGGAATAAACCTTGAGAGAAACTAGGCTCAGTTGGGCACAACCATTTCTCTTCTGGCCACACTTCACATGCAGAGCTGCAGTCTAGGCGCTGGAGGCAAACACTGGGCGTCCATCGTAGAGAAGCTGCAGGTGTGAGTAGGTCACCAGCTGGTTTTCAGGCTGGACCACAGGGTCAATGTGGGCACTCATCTGTCACTGGGGTCTTTCATTAATCAGTCTCATGCTCTCCACTTCTCCATGACCACCACAGCATCTGCTCATGATATGGTCTGTTTCAGGATTATGGATACATTTAGAAGTCCTCTATGGTGGCATCATCTCTTCACAGGTTACGATCTCTAGAGGCCTCTGGATGAATATCCCCAGGTGGAAATAGGGAACAAGGAAAATAATTAGCGCAGCTGCTGTTCATAGTGTATTTAAACAAGAGATATTAAATATCAAGACAAAAATGAAGTGCTAAGAGATAAAATAGCAGTTATATGAATAAACATGAAACGCACATGATTATTTATAACAAAATGTCTGGTTAAGACAGCAAGAGTGTTCCCTCCAAGTGGTTTGTCAATCCCACTCACCCGCATAGAGCACATAGGGCAGCACAGTGGTTAGCACCGTCGCTTCACAGCAAGAAGGTTGCTGGTTCAAGCCCCGCCTGGGCCAGTGGTCATTTCTGTGTGGAGTTTGCATGTTCTCCCCATGTTCAAGTGTATGAGTGTAAATGGGTGTTTCCCAGTACTGGGTTGCAGCTGGAAGGGCATCCGCTGTGTAAAACATATGCTGGATAAGTTGGCAGTTCCTTCTGCTGTGGCAACCCCTGATAAATAAAGGGACTAAGCCGAAAAAGAAAATGAATGAATATATATATTCTTGAATATGTAAAACAATGTATATGAACTCAAAAGGTTAATCAATTGTTAAGAAATAAAATTCAGATTAATATTTAATATAAGAGGTATAATAACAAACATTTGCTTTACAGTGTAAGCTATAATATATATATATATATATATATATATATATATTTATTTATTTATTTCTGGCTTAAGCGTATGCACTGTTGGGAGAACCAAACAGGAAACTTTACTCCCAACTCCATATTTTTAAGTTTATAAGAGCAATACCCACCTATTGAATGGTCTCCCTTCTTTCGTCAGTTGTTTGTAAATCTGTCTGTTAAATTATTTTACTTCACTGAAATAGAGAACAATCACTGTTGAGTTAACATATATACCAGTAACAAAAAGGCTCTTTGAGCATTGTGCCAAAATTAACCATATTCTGACCTGTAATGATAATCTTTACCAGAAAGAAAGACCTGCTCAGCATTATCCAAAGACCAGCTCCTCAAGACACCCAGAGGATGTACGATGGCCTATGAAAAAAAAAATCATTTAAATATGAACTAAAATACTACCACAGAACAGCAAATCATTTTACATGGATTCATAAATGAGTAGCACCCAGCATGCAGTTTATATACTTATTTGGCCAGACATTCCTCTGGAAAATGAACACCACAGATAAGCTGCACTTCATCATAGATATGCTATAAACTCAAGAACACAGCTAGCATTTGTAACTGTATTTATAAACTGCTTATCAATGTCTATTTAATGTAGAGTTAATGCTAAACAAATAAAATATTAATAAATTAACTAGTTATTAAATGCTTAATAATTATTTATTTATAGTATGCAGATGTTATAAAGTGTTACTCAACAGTTTGAGATAACCTCAATGAAAATCATCCTGTAGTTTGTTTTCTTTTCCTCCTACAATGAGCCTAAGCAATCCAATCATATTGGCCATAACTTCTTATTCGCCAGGTAAAACATACCTGATATAAATTAAAGATATGAGACTTTATATGGTTAAGACCTGCAGAATAATCCTAACTTTCAGAATCTCATTCATCACTGTAAAACGATGACAAAACATCAGGCTAATAACACATACAGTATTGTGGGGCTAACAGAGCGGCAGTCAGCACAATTTTTAATGTGCTAATGTAATACAACGAATAACACGAATTCAGTAAAATATAGATAAATCTAAAACTCTTACATCAAACGTGCTTTTACCATCTTAGTTTAATACATGTCACTAAGCACATTAGCCGTTAAGTCAACAAGCCATTAAATCAACAATGTTTCATTAAACCATGGTCACGAGCTACGAACGTCGTATAATCAAACTAGAAAACGAACTCTAGAAAATTATTAACAGTTATAACAGCTCTCACTCTGGCTGTGTAAAATTATCCATAATTATTATTATAATATTTTATTCTTCTTCTGGAAAAAATATCGTCACGTAACATTTTTGTCCCAGACCCTTAAAAGTGGGGTAAATCATGCAGGCTAATCTGGCATTTCTGCATAAACTCACTGTATAAAACAGCAGTATTACAAAATAAACACATACTTTAACAGTTTAAAATAAAACTTAATAGATAAATCGGTACTTACACTTTCCTTGTCATCAGTGTCGTCCATTAGCGCATCCATAATCCAATCCGACAGGTGACGCTGTCACAAAAAACTAGGGTCCTAAAGATGCGGTCCTAAAAATGCGGTCCTGAGAGTGCAGCCACTCCAGTTGTGCAGGAATACCCTTCTCCAAGAGCCTCTTTATGCATGTGCAAAGTAACTGAGTAGAAAGCATAGTAAATTTTGCTTCACCCGCACTGTCTTAGATGAAACTGCATTTGGAAGTATCGTATCCAGAGGTTTTTTCTTTTAGTGTTAAGACTAACGGCTGTTTCACACCGCAAGCGCCAGCAGCGCGTGAGCAGAGCGTGTTTTTTCGGCGTCCATGTTAACAGATTAGAGCTTTCACAATGCACACAGTAGCAGCGCGTCAGAGCGAGGCGTGAGCGTCGCTGAAGCAGCAGTGCAGCGATAGTTTTGGCGCCGGGTCTATTTTTGACGCGCTGCTCACGCTCAATTAAAGTGACAGTGCATTGATAATGACCAAAACACAATGAATGACAGTAAAAAGTAGCAATTGTACCCAATAAATGCCTTAATAATGTCAACTGATTTATATATAGTCAGTTGTAACCCAGGTTACTAGTGGGTAGTACACAGCAATAGAGCAAATAGAAACACCCTTATAAATATGAAAAAAAAAAAACATTGGCAGAATACTCAATTAAATATTATATATTAAAATTATGTATTTATATAAATAATTCATAATAGAGTATTATACAGCATTCAAGGGAATAGTGCTTTAGAAGAACATCATCGTGCCTTAGACTATAGCAGCAGATCAGCTTTACAAACAATAACAAATCTCTGTCTGTTAGCTTGTGTTTACCGTTGCTATGGTGATTCAGTGTTCGCAAGGGAATGCAGAGATGTAAGTTGTTATATTAATAACAGTAGAAAACTATTAGATTTATATCTTTTAATGTTTTAAATGCGTATTAACTGTGAAAATTGACCATTAATAAGATGCTGAAATGATTTCTATCATATATCTTTAATGAAGGATTGAGAGAAAAAAAAACAAGATTTGTATCTGTGAGTGAAATCTGCACACGAGTGCCACCTGGAGTTTTCCTGGTTTTTCGCTTTGATTTTGAATGATTTCCTTGGTGAGTTCGTGATTTTTTTTATTATTGTTTTCATTATAACATGATTTAAACTAGTGTCAAAAATGTGTTTCATTAATTAACCATTTGTTTGGTTCAGTAAAAACACAGTATTATACACAGTATTATACAAGTGATTGTGTAAAGTTTAAGTGAGAGAGTAAAATGCTGTCATTTGTAAAAAGAAAATGCCAAATAGGAGAGAGAAATAGGAAAAACACAGAAATTCAGCAGAGAGAAGCATATACATGGTCATTTATTGTTGCTGTTTATTTACAAATATGTTAAGCTGAGATAATGCATACACTGTAAAATGCTAATGGTTTTTTTTCTCCCCTTTGTTTGTTTGCTTGTGCATCTTCTTCTGGTTTTTCATCGGTGAGATGTTCTATTGAAGTCAGTTGCTGAATGTGATCTGCTCTGCATTCAAATTAATTGAAGTGTGAACTCTTTTCTGGATTTGGATTGTCTCAACTTCCATCGGTGCGTGTCTAATTGTGGAGTTGGACTGGCGAGCCTCCCATTAAGTGGATTTTTTGGATACACCTGTTGGAAAGATACAAAGTGAAACCTATTCAGCGTCATGGTAAGAGTGTAAATTTACAACAAACTCACAAGTGCAACATCCTGGATCTCTGGAACTGAATTTGCAACCTAGTTGTTTTGCAAAAGAATCTTTTTGAGTGTTCATCACCTGTACTGGACTTTTGGGAAAATTTGAAATGTTTTAAGTAAATGTTTTATTTTCATTTTTATTTTATTTGTACATTGTTTCATTGGAGTGTTCATTTGTTGCAATTTTTGAAGCTTTATAGAGAGAAGTTAATTGGTTTAAGAAGGGAAACCTTGATTATATATTGAATAATAAAACAATTTTAATATTGTATTATTAAGAGGGTTTTGGACGATGGCATTATATAATGGCATTATACGATAATTATATGGCATTATACGATGGCATTATATAATTATATATTATATATATTCACAACATGGAGGTTTATTAATAGGGTATGTCCTATTAATAAATTTGTAGGACATGTAAGCTCGTATAAAGCAAATAGCCTAAATAAAGAGATGCATGGATTAATGTAAATAAATAAATCTTTTCATTATGGCATTGTTCAAAATGGCTTACCTGGCTTTTCCAGAGGTCCACCTGAGTTGTTTTACTGGTTTTCTAATATTGCAGACTGATGCTTTTAACTGTATTCTAAACAGAAGCTCACTCTGAATCTTTTTAGCAGATCGCTATTGTGGATTGTGCTGCACAGCCAACTTAAAAGGGACTGCATCAAAGACAACCCAGGTGGCACATACTAAAAACAACAAGAACAAAAAGTATTTATAAAAAAGTAAGAATTTTTTTTGGCACAGCAGGGTCTTTCTTCAGGGCTCGTTGGTCAAGGGGTATGATTCTCGCTTAGGATGCGAGAGGTCCTGGGTTCAATCCATGGATGAGCCCTACAGCTCAAAAAAGCAGTGGAACTTTGGCATTTCTACATTAATTGTAGCACCTTTTGCTGTGACTTTAGTTAATGAACATTTAGTGGACTTGTAATTTAAATTAGTTTAACATGTACAATTATACAGACAAAACCGTCTGCTACCCTCAGGCAGATGGTTCCGCAGCATCTGGTTACGCACCAGCCGGCTAAAGGAAAGTTTCTTCCCTCAGACTATCAGGCTGATGAACACTTAACACACAGGCTCTTCCATACCCTCACTGCACACCATCGATATGTAGCATGCACTGACCTTTAGCCAATCCATACTTGAAACAACACTGCCTACAACTACGTGGACACCTATTCATTGTACATATCGCTGTCAATTTCACATTGTCATTTTATTTGTGTTGTTTGTACTGTCGTTGTATTTGCACTGTCATTGTTTTTGCACTTTCTGTATTTTTTTACTGTTTGTACAGATAATTTTTCATGATTTTTGGTGAATTTATATGATTTTTGGTGATTTTTCAAGATTTTTTCATGATTTTTCAAGATTTTTTCATCTTTCATGATTTTTCGTGATTTTTCAAGTTTTTTCATTTTTCATGATTTTTTCATTTTTTATGAATTTTCATGATTTTTCATGATTTTTTCATTTTTTAATGATTTTTCAAAAATCTTTCATTTTTCGTGATTTTTCATTATTTTTAAAAAAAATTTCATTTTTCTTGATTTTTTGTGATTTTCATATTTTACGATTTTTAAAAAAATGTTCATTTTTTGTGATTTTTTGCGATTTTTCAAAAATTTTTCATATTTTGTGATTTTTCAAAAAATTTTCATTTTTTGCGATTTTTCAAAAATTTTTCATTTTTTGCGATTTTTCAAAAATTTTCATATTTTGCGATTTTGCAAAAATTTTTCAGTTTTTGTGATTTTTCAAAAAAAAATTATATTTTACAATTTTTCAAAAAATTTTCATTTTTTGTGATTTTTCAAAAATTTTCATATTTTGCAATTTTTCAAAAAAATTTCAGTTTTTGTGATTTTGCGATTTTTCAAAAAATTTTCATTTTTTGTCATTTTTCAAAAAATTTTCATATTTTGCGATTTTTCAAAAAAAATATAAATTTTGCGATTTTTCAAAAAACTTTTCATGTTTTTCAAAAAATTTTCATGTTTTGCGATTTTTCAAAAAAATTATATATTTTGCGATTTTCCAAAAAATTTTCATGTTTTGCGATTTTTCAAAAAAATTTAATGTTTTGCGATTTTTCAAAAAAATTTTATATTTTGCGATTTTTCAAAAAATTGTAATATTTTGCGATTTTTAAAAAAATTTTCATGTTTTGCAATTTTTCAAAAAATTTTCATATTTTGCGATTTTTCAAAAATTTTTCATATTTTGTGATTTTAAAATTTTTTTCATATTTTGCAATTTTTCAAAAATTTTTCATTTTTTGTGATTTTGCGATTTTTCAAAAAAATTACATTTTTTGTGATTTTTCAAAAAATTTTCATGTTTTGCGATTTTTCAAAAAAATTTCATATTTTGCGATTTTTCAAATAAAATTCAATTTTTGTGATTTTTCAAAAAAAAATTATATTTTGCGATTTTTCAAAAAATTTTCATTTTTTGTGATTTTAAAAAATGTTTCATATTTTGCAATTTTTCAAAAAATTTTCATATTTAGCGATTTTTCAAAAAATTTTCATGTTTTGCGATTTTTCAAAAAAAATCATTTTTTGTGATTTTTTGTGATTTTTCAAAAAATTTTCGTTTTGCGATTTTTCAAAAAAAATTCATATTTTGCGATTTTTCAAAAAAATTCATTTTTTGTGATTTTTTGTGATTTTTCAAAAAATTTTCATGTTTTGTGATTTTTCAAAAAAATTTCATATTTTGCGATTTTTCAAAAAAATTCATTTTTTGTGATTTTTGCGATTTTTCAAAAAAATTCATTTTTTGTGATTTTTAGTGATTTTTCAAAAACTTCATTTTTGTGATTTTTTGCGATTTTGTAAAAAAATTTCATTTTTTGCGATTTTTCAAAAAAATGTTCATTTTTTGCGATTTTTCCAAAAATTTTCTTTTTTGCGATTTTTTAAAAAAATTTCTTTTTTGTGATTTTTTGCGATTTTTAAAAAAAATTTGATTTTTTGTTATTTTTTAAAAAAAATTCATTTTTGTGAATTTTCAAAAATTTTAATTTTTTTGAATTGTTTATTATTTTTTGTTTTTTGTGATTTTTTGTGCTTTTTCAAGATTTTATAATTTTTCATGATTTTTCTTGATCTTTCAAGATTTCATTTTTCGTTATTTTTCGATGTTTTTTCATTTCTCGAGATTTTTCGTGACACTGAAGCGGTTCCAGCAGTACATTCTCAGCAAAGATATAGGCTTTATTTTATTTTTTTAACTACTTTATTAAAAATATATATCATGCTGGCAACATTTCATGCAAACT